CATGTAGTACAACCTTCATTGAATCACCATTCCAAAGTAGATTTCATTAAATTCCTAACAACACCCAAACACTAAACACTGAATGGCTAATCAAGTGCCAATAATAAATAGTTTTTATTTTATTTATTTATTTTGGTCCCACTCAACTATTAAGTTCTAATAGATTACAACACTAGAGCGCTTATCATAATAATATTTACAGTTGATACCCGTAATTAACCGAAACTTGCGTGTTAATTAGTTATAAATATTCAAAAAAAAAAGTTCTCAATGCCCCTTTTAAAAGCGCACGTGCAATTAAACCAAGCGAACGCGCAAGTGTCACAAGTTAGTGTTCAACACTCACACGTGCACTAAATTAGTGTCTCAAAAGCATAATTTGTGCGCACGCGCACTAATTCATCATCAAATAATTAAAACATTTATTAATCAGTCGAATTAATACTCTATTTTAATTATTGCGGACGCCGCACCGTCGCTCGTTTTATATTAACTGATGCTTGCCGTGAGGCGTCGCGACGCATTTTGTGTGTGCGATATGAACGACCGTTGGGGCGCTACTGTTAGAGCGTCGCGACGTCGTCGTCGGTGGATGCGCCGCATGCGTCATCTGATCTTTGAGAAGCCGCTATAGTTTTTCCCGACTCTAAATTATTGTAATTATGCATCGGGCGTTTGTTAGATGGATTGGCTTTTGTTTGACACATTGACTTGTTTGATGAATTATTGTTTAGTTGATGATATGAAGTAGCTAGTGTGAAAGCATTTCGAGATGAAATGTTTGTTTTATGTTCATTTTGTGGGTAGCTTTTTTAGTGTAGGAAAACAAATAGTAAATTATTTATTGGAAACTAAATGTATTATTTGGTGTAAGGTAACAAAATAATACATAATAAATAAACTTTTACAGGTAAAACGCTTCAAATATCTTCTTTTTTTTCTATATATTTGACCATTGTTCATTGCCACATTACCTATATGCAGTGGCGTATCAACCCAGCTCCGGGCCTGTGTGCCAACATTTCTGGGGGCTCATCATAAGCCCCCCGCCGGAGGCAATTTTTTTTTTTGAGTAACCCAAACTAACCCAAATTTCGACCCAAAAGTCGTTCAAAAAACACTCCTAAAATTTTTTATTAGGTATTTTTATTTAAACGTTGAATTGTGAATTCACCATTTTCAAAAGTGGTATGAATAATTATATCCTGTTCACAATCCGATGTCCACAAGTGCAGGTAAATTTATCACCATAGGCGCAACTAGGGGAATGCTTGGGGGTGCTAAGCACCCCTAAAGAAAAAATTAGCACTCCTATTCGGCATCCCACCATAGCACTACCTAACACAAATTAGTGCAACCAAATTATTTTATGTATTTTTTTTTGCACTTTTTGTACTTAATTACGTCATCGATGACGTCATAATTAAGAAAAAAGTATTTGTCGTTAATTAATTCATAGAGCACGTTCGCAATTATTATTGTTAAAATCAAGACTTACTTTAAAATATACGGTTTTTATCTTATATTAACATTTAGGATGACGTCATCAAACAAGGTCAGACAATGTTTTCAATATCTATGTTTATTCTATATCTTAAAGTGACATTGAAATACCGGCTCTTAAAAAATCATTGGAGTCCCAAATATATAAATTAATTAACTGCGTATTATACAGGGTGTTTTTGAAAATCATGTACAAACGACAAAGGGTGATTCTTTTTTTTTACGACTGAAATTTCAAATATGTTCTAAAAAATTGACTTATTTAAGCAATTAAAAAAAATTTACCCTCTTACATTTTAATTTTTTTCTAGAAAACTTGCAAAGAGAAAATTTTGAAAATTTTCCAGGAATAAGAGGAAAATGAGGAGCTCATCTTACGAAAATTTCAAAATTTTCCAGTAAAAAATCACTCCAGGAAAAAATCTGAAAAATTGACTTTTTCAAGTAAAATTAGGGAAAATTCACCTCTTACATTTTAATTTTTTTCTGCAAAACTTGCAAAGAGAAAATTTTGAAAATTTTCCAGGAATAAGAGGAAAATGAGAAGCTCATTTTACGAAAATTTCAAAATTTTTCAGTAAAAAATTAATCCAGGAAAAATTTTGAAAAACTTATTTTTCAGCAAAATTAAGGAGAACTCATCCTCCTACATTTTAATTTTTTTCTAGAAATCTGGCAAAGGGAAAATTATGAAATATTTCCAGAAGTAGAAGAAAAGTGAGGAGCACATTATAGAAAAATTTCAAAATTTTCCAGTCAAAAATCACTCCAGGAAAAATTCTGGAAAATTGACTTTTTTAGGCAAAATTCACCTTCTTACAACCGGGAAACTGGCAAGAAAATTGTGAAAATTTTCCAGAAAAAGAAGAAAATAAAGAGCTCATTATAGCAAATTTTGTAATTTTCGAAGGCTCGTAATTTCCGTAATTTTTCTTTAGAAATTTTTCAGTTCCTGTCATTTCTCAAATAATTCTTATAATTTTTTTATTAATTCCTGTTGTTCTTCATATTTTCGTATTTTTTTAATTCCCGTAGTTTCTCAGAAAATTCCGTTATTTTTATAATTCCACGTTTTTGTATATTTCAAAAATTAGTAAGTAATTCCCGTAATTTCCGTATTTTTTCTGGGCATTTATCAAAATCATTTCCCGAAAGCCTTTGTAATTTCTAATTCTCATAATTCCCGTAACTTTTTCGCAATCCGCGTAATTTTTTATAATTTTAAACGGTAAATTTTTACTTTACCGTTACAGTGGTTACTTGGTTACTAGCTGACAACACTGCGAATTAATTCAAGCGGTAGCAGGTAGGTATATGGCGCCTAGAAACAGCAAACGGGCAAGCAAAGTCTGGACAAGTTAAATCAAATCAAAAGCTTTGTTTTGGTTCGAAAAAAGGACGGTTCTAGATTTTGTGGTTCTAGAATGGTCCAAAACAATCGCACAATTTATAATTGGAATTTTTGATAGCCGAGCCGTTCGAGCGATAGAGCGCGACTAAGGGCGGGTATCATAAAATTATTTTAACAGATAACTAAAAGTTAACTTTTGGAATTACTATGAGAAGTAACGTCATTCCAAGGGGCCTGTTTCATAAAAATGAAAAGTTGAAGAGTTAAGGAGTGAGGAAGCGGCATAATGTTACATTTCATTTCATAAAAAATTTGAAGAGTTGAGGAGTGAAGGGTTGAAGAGTTACGAGGTGAAGAGTTGAATAGTTTTAAAAAAATTTAATTTCATTTCATAAACACTCTTCACTCCTCAACTCGTCAAGATTTACTGACGAGTTTACGAAGACCCTCATTTCTATTTCAAATCCGTTTAGTGCACATCATAATATTATAATGCAAAATCTACTATTCAGCAGTGATTCTTCTTCCGATGAAGAAAATGTACCACAAAGACAAAGGAAGTTATATAGGGAGAGACTAAGGTAAGACATTTGGTACCTATATATACCTACAATTTGGCACAATATACCTAAAATTTGTTTAAAGCTACGGGTGGTTGGAAAATAGACCTTTTGATGCAAACACCAGATTCAGGATGTCTGAAGAAAAATTTACTTCCCTGGAAATGATTCTGAATAATGACTTGGAGCAAAGTAATAGAGGAGGAGGATTAACAGTAAAACAAATTATGGAGGTGTCTCTTCATTGGCTTGGAACAGGCGTACAAAACCATGCTGTTGGAGACATGCATGGTGTATCCGCTGCCACGGTGCATCGATGCATACATAAATTCGTAAAAGCTGTACTAAAACGCATATATCCATCTCACGTCAAATTTCCAGAGAACATGCATCTGGTTGCCCAGAATTTTCACGGCATAGCAAATATACCACAGGTAATTTCAATGGTTTATTTATTTATCATTTAAAAGGTAAATTTTTTAAATATCATTTCCAGTGATAAAAATGGAATGTTATTATCTATTGAAATTTTTTATAAGGTGTGTGGTGCAGTGGATGGAACATTGATAAAAATAGATGCTCCTACAGAAAATGAAGCTGACGTTGTAGATAGACACGGGAATCATTCTATTAATTGTATGGCTGTATGTGGGCCTGATATGCAGTTCTATACTATTGATGCACATTGGCCTGGATCTACGCATGATAGCCGCGTTCTCAGAAACTCTAATTTGTTCAACGAATTTGAAAATGGAAGAATTCCTTTACCAGGAGGAATTCTTCTTGGGGATAGTGCATATCCTCTGAAAAGGTGGCTAATACCTCCTGTAATCAGACCGACCAGAACAGACGCTGAAAATATAGCGCAACAAAGATTTCTCAGAAGTCACAAGTCAACCCGAAGAGTCATAGAATGCGCTTTTGGGATTTTGAAAGAAAAATTTCCATGTCTTTACCACTTGCATGTTAATCCGGTTTTTGCAGCGAGAATATTCAAATGCTGCGTTGCGCTATGCAACTTCATTAGAACAGGCCAAGAAGATATTGAAAGACTAGAACTATTTCCAGAAAATGAAGAACCCGACGAAAACCTCCCTGAACCCGATAACGCTGTGTTCACAGCAGATTTCAGGAAATTATACAACATTTTATGTAAATAGGAAGTTTTAATTTATTGTTCTAAATCAATACAATTTTGGTGGGGCTTAATAATGAATAGGGTCATATTTTATATTTCGACACCCCCCAGGGGCTTTATTTCTTAAATTGGAAAAAAAAATAAAAATTAATTATATTATAAGTATTATATATTATATTATCTTGCATTTCTTGGGACTTACACCTCAATATTAGTTTTCACCGAAGTGTTCCTGATTTTTATGCGCGCTTCTGGTGAAAACTAATATTGAGGACTGAGGTATAAGTCCCAAAAAATGCAAGGTAATATAATAAATTTACCTCAAACATACAGTAGACATTTATTACAAAATTTATTATATTAATTTTTTTTTTTTTTTATTAACATATGGGAGAGCATAATAAATTTGATTTATTTACTTTTTAATTCAAATTTCTATAAATTTTACCATCAACAGTGTTAAGATTTGAATTATCATCTTCTTCGGGAAAAGATATTTCCTCTGGCACCTGTGACAAGCTGGAATCTGTCATTAAATTATCCGTTAAAGCAGTAGAAGGCAACTGAAGCTGTCTTTCTAGAGCAAGGCATTCTAACTGATTTTTATATTTTTGAGCATCAACTAGAGCTGCTGAAGCATTGAGAAATTTGATTTGAGCGATTTTTTTTTGTTTATCTAGTGCCTTTATTTCATCGTCAATTGACTTTATTTTTTTTTCTGGTGAGGATTTTTACCGCCCTTCGTATCTTTTTTCTACATTATTAGTCTTGCTACACGATGGCTTACTATTTATCACCCTTTCTTCTTTTTGTGGTGTAGGTTTTGGCGGTTCTTCAGTCGTTCTTCCTTTATTGATCTTGCTGCTGGATGAATTTGTAGGTACTACACTGTTACATTTATCTTCATCGGTATCTTCACTATCCGATGACACTCCTGTCATGCCCATCACCCCCGGAGTATGTATTTCTGCCCAAAATATCCAAAACCAAATTATCCAGTTCAGTCAAAATCACTTTTCCACTTCCGGTTTGCCGACTTTTATCAAGTTTTTCCTGAAAATAAAACGAAAAATAATATATTGAAGCCTTACATAGCATTTAGAAAAAAATCTGTTACGCATGTCCCATTTTCACAAGATTATATTATGATAATTGTATTATAATAAAATGGTAACTCCTTATGTTTGATAAATAAAAATCACTTACCTTGGCACGTCTTTTCCAATTTCCCCAAGTTGTGTCTCTCAGCTTTTCTTTTGTACAACTCTCGGACACCATCCCAATTGATTTGGCATATTGCAAAAGTTCTTCCCATGCTTGCTGTTTTTTTTCACTTGATACCTTATCGGAAAATTTCCCATCCAGTATCTCTTTATACTCGCGCAATTTCTGTAAAAATGAATTTTTTTTCTCCATGTTGTGCGCAACACTCTACATGATGTACACTGTACTGAAGCTATACAAAAAGTGTTTTACCTTGTTTCTATTTAGATAGTAATAAAATAAACATAAATTTGGCTATTAAAGTTTGTTTAATTTATTTAAATATTTTGCGAAAAAAAAAATGCGCTCAAAATATATAAATAGATACTAAATAATCTGCTCAAATAGGTCTGAAATACGCGAGATTATTATTATTTTGTATTCTCTACTCGTCAACTCTTCATGAATAATGAGGAGTAGACGCAATTTTATTTTGAAACAAAAACGAGATATACTTGTCACTCCTCAACTCTTCACTCTTCACTCGTCGCTCATCAACTCTTCATTTTTATGAAACAGGCCCCAAAGTTAACTTTAAGTTAGTCTGTCAACATAGTTTTATAAAACCCGCCCTAAGTCTCGAGCCAGACTCTAGAGACCGAATGTTTTAAAAATGTTCAGCAAATGTGGGGAAAAAAATATTCTTTCTATTATGTTTTTATGATGTTCAAAAATTATCTATTTAAAAATATTATTTTGGATATTTTTGTAAAACTGATGTTTTTTTGAATACATTTTAAAAACATTTTTTGAACATTTCCAAACCAATGTGTGGTCACAAATGTTGTTCGAATATTTTAAAAATATTTTATTAGCGTTGTTCAAAAAATATCCACTGTTGGATCAAAAAAAATATCCAAAAAATATTTTGTGCTACATGGGTAGGGTTGCCAGGTTTGAAAATTGAATTCGCAGGACATGTGTTGAGAAAATGCAAGACAGTGATGAAAAAAACAGGACTTTTTTATTTTCCTAAAATAATATTTATAATACCCAAAAATACGTTAAATAATACCTAATAAGGTTATTCAAATTAAATATACGATCTGGGAAGGTACTTACTTACATTAGGTTTGTTCGGACTTAGTTTAGGATCAGTTCTGAATTGAACTGCGCTTGCGCATTTGTTCATATCGGACATAAATAAACAAATGCGCATGCGCCTCAATTCAGAACTGATTCTGAACCAAGTCCGAACAAATCTATTATAACTTGTTTCAAATAACGAAAATAGTGTAACAATCATAAGTTAGCTACAAAAAACTTTTTCATGCCCTTAATGTTCAGCTCCCAAAGCGTGGCGCTTTATCTCTCCATAGCCTCCATAAGCAAATGAGAACGATTTTTTACACAGCTTACAATACGCTTTTGACAAACTATCATCTTCTTTAAGCCAGGAAAACTGAGTTTCCCACTCTTTTCTATATTTACTTAGGGCCGGTTTCTCAATAGCAGGTCACCTCCGAGTTAAGCTAACTCCAGGGTAAACATTACAATTTGACACGTTAACCCTTTTGACAGTTAAAACCAACCCGGGGGTGACTCGTTATTGAGAAACCGGCCTTTGGCATTTTAAGTTTTTTCGGTGGGGTTTTAGGACTTTCTGAATCCGATTCCGAACTATCCATGGCTTCATGGCTACCTATCCTATCTATATATATAAAAATCAAAGTTCCTGGGGTATCCAGATATGCGCTCCAAAACCACTTATCCGATTACGATGAAACTTTGGTAGGTTGTTATGGCCATCCCAAGGAAGGTTTGTAGATAGGTTACGCATCTCGGAAAAAGAAATTAATTTTGAATTAATTATTAATTTAATTGTAAACAAACTCATTCACATTACATAACAACATAACCCAACTTTTTTTGACAGCATGAAACAACGTTGCCACACCGAGAGAAAAAAAAGGCTGTTATAACTAAAAAATTAGTTATTGTCACTAAGGAGTGTGCATAAAATAGAGGACAGCTCCGGCATGTAGTTATACTAACCAATTTAAGTTAGTTGGTGATCGAATAACCTTCATAGTTGTACCAAATAGGCTTTTAGTTATTTCCACTTTAGAAGTGGCTACAACAACCAATATTTTTTAGTTGCCTTTACTATATAAATTGGTTGTGTAGACCTGAATTTATTTGAAAATAACCAATTTTTGGTCTGCAACAAAAAATTGTCTGGGCTGACTTAACTAATATTTTTAGTTAGCAAAAACAATATTCCGGGTTGAATCAACTGATGTCTGTAGTAAATGCTTAGTAGTGGTAGCTAATATGATTTGCTGAAAAAGGGAAGCGGTTAATAATAAAGAGAAATAAATCATTATGTTTGGAACATATTTATTACTAAGGAAAACAATGGTTGTATATTACAGACATTATACTAATAACACTGTAAATTGAATGGAGATTCTTAAAACACACATTGAAAATCTAATTTAAAAACTAAAAATAACATTGATCTTTTTGTTTCACTGAAACCTAACCTGATACCGATACTGGTATAACAATTCAAATTAAATACATATTCTTAAATTAAGCACACATTGAAAATCTACTATAAAAAGTAAGAATAACATTGAACTTTTTATTTTACTGAAACCTAATGTAACAAATAGTAATTTTATATGCATAGTGAAGAAAAAAATTAATATCCATTCTTTGAAACTGTTTTTGAAAAAAAAAAAACCTCAAAAAGTATACCGAACACTTCACAAGTCAGTCAGAAAACAACATCTTTCACCAAAATGATATTTTATTCTCATAATTTTTCTATTGTCCCTTAATGAAACTCAAGGAAATAATAACCGATCACTTTCTTACCCTGAAACGCACTTAAACAGGAGCCATATTCCACTCGCACAAAACTTTTTTATATTTATACTGATACTGCTGTTGCTCAGCGGTGTCCATTTTGTTTGATTTTGTTAAAGATTCACGATTTGAGCGCGTGCCTACCTACCGACTCATCACATCAAGCTCGCAGTCGGCCACTCGCTGTGGAATAAACTCGAATGAAGCCGAAGCCGGAACAGCCAAAAATATCGGCACAAATTTTGCTAAAGCTTGGCGTCCCATTGGTCAACGGAATCTCCCGAACATTCTACTATCGAGTGCTAGTCGTTGCAACTAGATTTCCGTTTGCTCAACTAATAATTTTGGTTATTTTTTATCTGCTTTTTTATAAAACCCAACAGCTTAGTTGCTACAACTACACTGATAGTTGGCTACCAAAATGTTCAGTTATCAGAAATCGAGGCTTAGTTGTGACAACCTAAGAATTGCAACTAAGTTAAAATGACTACCAGAGCAAGACCAAATGCTTGCGAGTACTAACAGTTATGTCGCAATAACAAATTTTTTAGTTATGGTAACTGAAAAAATTTAACTCACGCATCTAGTTAACGCGATTTTCTCAGTGCATATTTCATTTATTTAGGCTTGCATTCAACCGACGTAACTTTATTATTTTTTGAATTCGAGAACGGCTGGACCGATCTTGAATTAATACCACGTATCTATATATTAGGTGAAATCGATTGACCCAGATTAGATCGATTTGGGTTCAATTTAAGTGAACTTCTTCTCTAGATCATTTTTTTGTTGATGAGGGTACACTGATCCAGCTTGAATCGAACACAGTGTGGTTCACTTAAATTGAACCAGATCGATCTAATCCGGTCAATCGAATCGGCTATAGAGGAGAGTGGCTATTTTTTATCCCGAAAAAAAAAGTTAAGTTGCGTAAAACTCTGATACACTGGAACGCCTATAAACAGCCCGGGGCGCTCTAGAGCAGCTCTGGAGTGCTTAAAATGCGTCACTGAACTCACTGGCAAGCGACTATGATATCGGATTAAAAATAATAAATAAATAAATAGAAAATCAACAACAAAACTTGAAAAGAAGTGTATTATTTCAAAATGTATTTACATCAGTGGCGGATCTAACATGAAGCAAACGACGCACTCTGCGTCGGGCCCCCAGAGCTGAGGGCCCCACACTGCCGGATTGTACAGGGTGTCCCAGCCGAGAGTGACCCATTTTAAATGCTTATAACTTTTAAACCAGGTGAGCAAGCTACCTGCGGTTTGTGCCATTCGATTTCTCTTGGTCTAAAGTTTTTTCTAGTAGGTTTCAATTTTTTTTAAAACTTATACAGGGCGAGTAAAAAAAAAATCCGTTTTTCAACACCGAAAATCTCCACTATTTTCAATCCACTATCGCAACGTCAAAAAATAGATTCATGTTTAAGGTATCCATGTAACAATAGACATCGTCCCTAAAACTTAAAGTTTTAGCCGTAAAAAATCAAATTCGAAATCTTGGTATTTTTGCAAACACCTATTTTCAAAGCTTCAACCTTATGTTGGCCTAATAAAAAGTTAATAACAACTGCATAAAACTATACAAAAAGCTGTAGGTACCTATATGTATATGTTAGCCATTCTGTTCCAGGCATTTGTGGAACAACAAATAGTTGAATGAATTGTGTAACATTTCCTGGTGAATCGCTTCAATGACATTACAAATGTTCCACTTAAGATCTTCCAGGCTATTTTAGCAAAGTGTTACCGCATCTTTCCTTGACATAACGCCAGAGAAAAAAGTCTAGAACTCTCAAGTCATACAGGTGTCCATTCTATAGGCCAGCGGCCAGCTCTCCTTATCCGTCTTTCCCCAAATGTCATATCTAGTGATTCCCTTGCTATTAATGAATAAGGAGGTGGGGGCATCATCCTGCTGAAAATAGATATCATTCAAGATAACCTCCTGTCTCAACTATGGGAAAAAGAACATATCAGTGTATACAGTTTCTGTTATTGTTGGTTTATCAATGAAAATGGTCTGTATTTTTTCTCAATAGAGATTGCACACCAAACTGTTACTGCTGGGGTATCTCTATTTAATGAGTTCCAGAGAAAATACTTTGGCACTCGGCAAATTTTCTTGGAAAATATATTTCAACTTAATTGATATCTAACTATACTTTATTTTTTTCCAAGATAGATTTTGACATTGTCAACTTTGAAACATAAATAATGCCGCTAA